GGAGGGTGAGGGGAGGTGGGAAAGCGGTAGAGAGATGAAACTCAGACTTCTATCGCCTTGTGAGTGGCCGACTCTGCTGCCAGTGTAGTCTGTGCCAGTTGTGCCATGGGTTGGGGGAGGAAGTGGGCGGGGGAGGAAGTGGGGGGAAGCATGGAAAGGTGGGAAAGAGGTGGACCATTGAAGTTCGGACTTTAATGGCCTTGTGAATGGCCGACTCTGCTGCCTGGACTGTGAAAGGAACCTGCGAGAGGGGGAGAGAGAGGGAGAGGGGGAGAGGGAGAGGGGGAAGAGATGTGGCAGGAAAAGGGAGGGGGAAAAGTGGGGAAGGGGAGAAAGAGCGAGAGGGGGGAATGTGAGGGAGGGGAAGAAATGGAGGGGAAGAAATGGAGGGGGGAATGAGAGCGGGGGAATGAGAGCGGGGGACAGACATTGCCTAACAGAGTGCCTTACCTCCTGCACTTGCGTAGCCTGCCTTACTGGGGTCCCCGTTATAAGTGATGGGTGAAATGCTGTCAATGCATTACTAACCTCCTGCACTGGCGAAGGATGCTTTATTGAGGTCCTCGTTAAAGGTGCTGGGGATGACGTCAACAGTAAGGCCCTGGGAAAGAGGAGAGACGGAGGTGGGGATGCGGAATATGAAGGTTAGAGCAGGGGAGAGGTGGAGGGGGGAGAGGTGGATGGGGAGAGGTGGATGGGGAGAGGTGGATGGGGAGAGGTGGATGGGAGAGAGGTGGATGGGGAGAGGTGGATGGGGAGAGGTGGATGGGGAGAGGTGGATGGGGAGAGGTGGATGGGGAGTGGTGGATGGGGAGAGGTGGATGGGGAGAGGTGGATGGGAGAGAGGTGGATGGGGGAGAGGTGGATGGGAGAGAGGTGGATGGGGGAGAGGTGGATGGGAGAGAGGTGGATGGGGGAGAGGTGGATGGGAGAGAGGTGGATGGGGGAGAGGTGGATGGGAGAGAGGTGGATGGGGGAGAGGTGGATGGGAGAGAGGTGGATGGGGGAGAGGTGGATGGGAGAGAGGTGGATGGGGGAGAGGTGGATGGGAGAGAGGTGGATGGGGGAGAGGTGGATGGGAGAGAGGTGGATGGGGGAGAGGTGGATGGGAGAGAGGTGGATGGGGGAGAGGTGGATGGGAGAGAGGTGGATGGGGGAGAGGTGGATGGGAGAGAGGTGGATGGGGGAGAGGTGGATGGGAGAGATGTGGATGGGGGAGAGGTGGATGGGAGAGATGTGGATGGGGGAGAGGTGGATGGGAGAGAGGTGGATGGGGGAGAGGTGGATGGGAGAGAGGTGGATGGGGGAGAGGTGGATGGGAGAGAGGTGGATGGGGGAGAGGTGGATGGAAGAGAGGTGGATGGGAGAGAGGTGGATGGGGAGAGGTGGATGGGAGAGAGGTGGATGGGAGAGAGGTGGATGGGGAGAGGTGGATGGCTTTTGAGACGACTCAAGAGTCATCGCGTTACGAGATGGCGCCAAAGCAGTGCTCGCTGGGAAGGTGGTGGGGATGCGGAATATGAGAGTTACAGCAGGGGAGAGGTGGATGGGTGGATGGGGAGAGGTGGATGGGTGGATGGGTGGATGGGGAGAGGTGGATGGGTGGATGGGGAGAGGCGGATGGGTGGATGGGGAGAGGCGGATGGGTGGATGGGGAGAGGCGGATGGGTGGATGGGGAGAGGCGGATGGGAGAGAGGTGGATGGGAGAGAGGTGGATGGGGAGAGGTGGATGGCTTTTGAGACGACTCAAGAGTCATCGCGTTACGAGATGGCGCCAAAGCAGTGCTCGCTGGGAAGGTGGTGGGGATGCGGAATATGAGAGTTACAGCAGGGGAGAGGTGGATGGGTGGATGGGGAGAGGTGGATGGGTGGATGGGGAGAGGCGGATGGGTGGATGGGGAGAGGCGGATGGGTGGATGGGAGAGGCGGATGGGTGGATGGGGAGAGGCGGATGGGTGGATGGGGAGAGGTGGATGGGTGGATGGGGAGAGGCGGATGGGTGGATGGGGAGAGGCGGATGGGTGGATGGGGAGAGGCGGATGGGTGGATGGGGAGAGGCGGATGGGTGGATGGGGAGAGGCGGATGGGTGGATGGGGAGAGGTGGATGGGTGGATGGGGAGAGGCGGATGGGTGGATGGGGAGAGGTGGATGGGTGGATGGGAAGTGGCGGATGGGTGGATGGGGAGAGGCGGATGGGTGGATGGGGAGAGGCGGATGGGTGGATGGGGAGAGGCGGATGGGTGGATGGGGAGAGGCGGATGGGTGGATGGGGAGAGGCGGATGGGTGGATGGGGAGAGGCGGATGGGTGGATGGGGCGAGGCGGATGGGTGGATGGGGAGAGGCGGATGGGTGGATGGGGAGAGGCGGATGGGTGGATGGGGAGAGGGGATGGGTGGATGGGGAGAGGATGGGTGGATGGGAGAGGCGGATGGGTGGATGGGGAGAGGCGGATGGGTGGATGGGGAGAGGCGGATGGGTGGATGGGGAGAGGCGGATGGGTGGATGGGGAGAGGCGGATGGGTGGATGGGGAGAGGCGGATGGGTGGATGGGGAGAGGCGGATGGGTGGATGGGGAGAGGCGGATGGGTGGATGGGGCGAGGCGGATGGGTGGATGGGGAGAGGCGGATGGGTGGATGGGGAGAGGCGGATGGGTGGATGGGGAGAGGTGGATGGGTGGATGGGGAGAGGCGGATGGGTGGATGGGGAGAGGCGGATGGGTGGATGGGGAGAGGTGGATGGGTGGATGGGGAGAGGCGGATGGGTGGATGGGGAGAGGTGGATGGGAGAGAGGTGGATGGGGAGAGGTGGATGGCTTTTGAGACGACTCAAGAGTCATCGCGTTACGAGATGGCGCCAAAGCAGTGCTCGCTGGGAAGGTGGTGGGGATGCGGAATATGAGAGTTACAGCAGGGGAGAGGTGGATGGGTGGATGGGGAGAGGTGGATGGGTGGATGGGGAGAGGCGGATGGGTGGATGGGGAGAGGCGGATGGGTGGATGGGGAGAGGCGGATGGGTGGATGGGGAGAGGCGGATGGGTGGATGGGGAGAGGCGGATGGGTGGATGGGGAGAGGCGGATGGGTGGATGGGGAGAGGCGGATGGGTGGATGGGGAGAGGCGGATGGGTGGATGGGGCGAGGCGGATGGGTGGATGGGGAGAGGCGGATGGGTGGATGGGGAGAGGCGGATGGGTGGATGGGGAGAGGCGGATGGGTGGATGGGGAGAGGCGGATGGGTGGATGGGGAGAGGCGGATGGGTGGATGGGGAGAGGCGGATGGGTGGATGGGGAGAGGCGGATGGGTGGATGGGGAGAGGCGGATGGGTGGATGGGGAGAGGTGGATGGGTGGATGGGGAGAGGCGGATGGGTGGATGGGGAGAGGCGGATGGGTGGATGGGGAGAGGCGGATGGGTGGATGGGGAGAGGCGGATGGGTGGATGGGGAGAGGCGGATGGGTGGATGGGGAGAGGCGGATGGGTGGATGGGGAGAGGGGATGGGTGGATGGGGAGAGGTGGATGGGTGGATGGGGAGAGGCGGATGGGTGGATGGGGAGAGGCGGATGGGTGGATGGGGAGAGGCGGATGGGTGGATGGGGAGAGGCGGATGGGTGGATGGGGAGAGGCGGATGGGTGGATGGGGAGAGGCGGAAGGGTGGATGGGGAGAGGCGGATGGGTGGATGGGGAGAGGCGGATGGGTGGATGGGGCGAGGCGGATGGGTGGATGGGGAGAGGCGGATGGGTGGATGGGGAGAGGCGGATGGGTGGATGGGGAGAGGTGGATGGGTGGATGGGGAGAGGCGGATGGGTGGATGGGGAGAGGCGGATGGGTGGATGGGGAGAGGCGGATGGGTGGATGGGGAGAGGCGGATGGGTGGATGGGGAGAGGCGGATGGGTGGATGGGGAGAGGTGGATGGGTGGATGGGGAGAGGCGGATGGGTGGATGGGGAGAGGCGGATGGGTGGATGGGGAGAGGTGGATGGGTGGATGGGGAGAGGCGGATGGGTGGATGGGGAGAGGTGGATGGGTGGATGGGGAGAGGCGGATGGGTGGATGGGGAGAGGTGGATGGGTGGATGGGGAGAGGCGGATGGGTGGATGGGGAGAGGTGGATGGGTGGATGGGGAGAGGCGGATGGGTGGATGGGGAGAGGCGGATGGGTGGATGGGGAGAGGCGGATGGGTGGATGGGGAGAGGCGGATGGGTGGATGGGGAGAGGCGGATGGGGGAGAGGTGGAGAGAGGGTATGGGAGGGAGAGATGAGGATGACGTCAGCAGACAGGCTCAATGGAACATGTGGGCGGCGGAGGTAAGGGAGGATTTGTCTGTCCCCGCTAATAGCCTGATCCGATACTAGCAGCGGAGCCTATATACTACTAGCAGCCCTACCTACCAGACCGGATAGCAATTCGCGTCGCCTTGGGGATGCCGAAGCGAGAACGATCCGGCGCTTCGACAGTGCTGCCACGTGTTGGATGAACATTGGTCCACGCTTATTCCCTGTTCGCGGACCAAGCTTTCTTTCGCCTTCACCGCTTCAACGAAACTCTTAAGGCTATCGGCCGTTCCCTGACCGTCGCTCGCTGGACGACGCGAACACGCGAGCTGACTTCGAGGTGCATATAAAAGGCAACCGGAATTAGTTTGAGGCGCGTCTAGCGACAGGCGAACTGATTCGCGGCGTGCGGAGCAAAGCTGCAGATGTCGCAGAGTCGTCGCTAGAATACGTCTTGCGACGATCGTGACGGATCACGGGTGCCGCGGCGAGCTAAGGCAGTGGCGACGCGCATAAAACTGGGAGCTCGGGGGAGGAGGATAGATGAATGCGAAAATGCTGATCGTGGTCGTTATTCTCGCTTTTGACAGATTCAGTTTGTGTCGTGCACAACCTCAAACCTGCACACAGTAAATTTCAGTACACTGCATGCTTCCCTTAATCTAATTTGATATCAACACGCAAAAGCCCGTAACACCTCTAAACAGATTACATTCGCATAATAAACAATAATGGTAGATTATTCACAATGTACGTTAGAGCATATTCCATGCTGGTGGCATTCACCTGCCCAACATCTACGCACTCCCTACTACTCTTGCCCATTTTTCAGCTCCCCATACTTTGTTTCCGCCTTGCCTTTTCCCCCCTTTTTCTTCCCCCCCCGGCCACCTTCTCTTCGTAGCTTCTGCTTCCCTGTGGGTGTTGTTGACCCTGCAACCACTCTTCCCTGCCCCAATCCCTGAATCGAATCCTTCTGCTCCTTCCCTCTCTGCTGCTTGTCACCAGCACCACCACTCCCCTTCGCACCACCTCCTTCACTTGAAAGTGCTGCCTTGGTAGCACCGTCTTTTTTGGGCTTTCTCAACCTAGCAGCTGCAGCAGGGGTCAGACCCACCCCAGGCCCAGCAGCAGCAGCACCGCCACTCCCCTTGGCAGCTCCACCTCGTTCATGTGACGGTGCTGCTTTGGCGGCACAATCCTTCTTAGGCTTTCTTAGACTAGCAGCTGCAGCAGGGGTCCCAGCCACACCAGCAGCAGCAGCAGCAGCAGCAGCAGCAGCAGCAGCAGCAGCAGCAGGAGCAGACGTGCCAGGTACATCACCTGTGGAAGCACCTTGTGCAGTCATCTTCTTCTGCTGCTGTAATTGCTTGCGGCGCTGCTGCCTCTGCCTTCCGCCATCTCCCTTCTGCTTCTTGATGCTCCCTGCAGCACCCGCAGTAGGAGCAGCACCAGGACTTGTAGCGGCAGCCGCCGCAGCAGCAGCAGCATCGGCAGCAGCAGCGGCGGCAGCAGCTTTGGTGCGTTCGAATCTCTCTGCATGGGTCTCTCCTATCGCCTCCACCTCCCCATCGCTGTTCACCATCACCTTAGACTCGCCCCTCTCGTGCCGCACCGCTGCTGCCACGTGTTTCTGCAGGGGGGAGGGGGCCAGGGGCCCATAGATGAGAGGCGCGGGGGGAATGAAGATATGGATGCAAGTAACGCCAATGCACTCCACCTCCCCATCACTGTTCACCATCACTTTTAACTCGCCCCTCCCATGCCCATGCCACCCCACCGCCCCTGCCACGTGCTTCTGCAGGAAGCAGAGGGAACGGCAGTGCAGCGGTTTGTAGCGGCGTGCGGTGCAGGCAGGTAGGGAGGGATGTGGGGAGAGAGAGAGGGAACCAAGCACACGACAAGGAACTTGCTACTAGTGAGCGAAAATGGGGGACAGAAAACAAGGAGGTGGCTCAGCACTCTCATCCATGCAGCCTTGTGGTTTTCCCCTTGACGCCATGCTAGTAAACAAAACGATTTTCCTGTTACTTAGAGGCCAGGTGTTTCTTCCTGTTATCTTGGACGCCAGGTGTTTCTTCATGTTACCTTGGACGCCAGGTGTTTCTTCATGTTACCTTGGACGCCAGGTGTTTCTTCATGTTGTCACTGTTCACACAGAGCACCCGAGGGCACACTCTGCACCGCAGCACACCGCCCCCTCCCCCCCCTCCCTGCCCCACCACTCTTATCACCATCTCCCCCTCTGCCCCAAAATCCAAGTCTTTAAATGCATTTCTTTTCTCCCTGCCCCTCCTCTCCTTCGCCTTTGCTTTCCTCTTCCGCTTTTCCCCCTCCCCCCCTCCCTCCCCGTCTTTCTCTCCCTCCACCACTCCCTCTTCTTCCTCATCCCCCTCCCCGTCCTCTTCTCCCTCCTCCCCCTCGCTGCTCTCGTCAGTGGTGCTGCCATCACTCTCACTACTCCCAGTCTTCCCCCCCTTCTTCCTCCTCTTCTTCCTCCTCCTCTCCTCCTCTCTCTCCCTCTCCTCCTCTGACACCAGCTCCTCCCACTGAGAAGACACCCCCCCTGCTCCTCCCTCCTCCTCCTCCTCCTCCTCCTCTTCGTCTGTGTCACTCTCACTCGCTCCACTCTCATCACCTTCCCCCTCCCTCTCTCCCCCCTCACTCTCCCCACTCCCCCCTTCGTGCACCTCCTCTTCCTCTGCACACAGGGACACGTGGCAGGGAAGGACAGGCGCAGGCAAGGACAGGGGAAGGCAAGGACAGGGGGAGGCAGACATAGAAGGGGGAAAGGCAGAGGGAGGGTTAGGCAGGGAAATGAGGGGTTACACTCGGGTTACCAATCCAGTCGAAGAGAGTACAGGGGCGATTGAGCTTAGCGAGTCGACACACACGGTAGCTGGGAGACGAAACGCGTGGAGGGTGGAAGGTCGTCGGCGCGAGTTACTTCCGAATTGGCCAAGAAATGCGCCAAGGCGTCGTTCGTTCCCGTGGAGAGGGGCGTCGTCTTTCCGCTGGCACCACCCTCACGCGATTCCTTCCGCCGCATTCGTCGTCGCTGGGCGACGAGGAGCTCCACTCGTCGCTGGACGACGAATGCAGCGGAAGGAGTCGCGCGAAGGTGGTGGCAGCGGAAGGACGACGAGGAACTCGACTCGTCGCTGGAGTCAGCGGGGCCGCCGTCGGCGCGATTCGCCTCATGAGTAACTTCGGCGCGACTCAAGCGTCGCCTGGGTTCGATGACACGTGACAATTTCGCTTCAGTCGCTCACCTGACGACGCGGCGCCGTCGTCGTCGCTCGACGAACTCGATTCGTCGCTGGAGGCAGCCGCGGGGGCCATCTTCGGCATGCAGCATGCGATAGTCGCGACGCTTTATCATTGTGACGCTGGCTCGTAGCTGCAGGCGAGTATTGCGCTTCTGATGGTATGATTCTAGCGTAAAGCGAATAGATGGTAGCTGCAGTTGCGACAGATGGTAAATGGTAGTTGCAGATGGTACGGAAGAAAACGCAGTGGTTCTAGCACTAAGTAGGGGGTTAGGTTTTGGGGTTTTATGAAATCCGCAAGAGAAAGAATTCTACGGGGTTTTGCAAAACACTGGAGGGGGCTGTGGAAACTCCCCGCGTTGGCGAATTGTACGTTCGCGCAGGGCGACACCACTTCTCGCCAAGAAAATCAGGTAACCGTGTGGAGTTTGAGTAGCTGAGATGTATTCGAGAGACTTCGGTACCAGAAACATTCGAGACTATGTACAAGATTGATTGATCGGAGTGGATTGGAGTGGTCCAAAAATGTCGTTTTAAAGAAAGTGGAGTGGATACTCTGCTCTCTCCTTTCGACTCGGAGAGGGAGCCTTGTCCCTTCACCTGTTCAATAGTTGACAAAGAGCGGCAAGGCGCCCCTTGGCGACCCAAGGCGCCTTGTACACGCCCTCACCTTCTTTCGCCAAAACTTCGCCAACGGTTTCGTAGAACCCAAGGAAACCTGATCCACTTTCGTGGGATAGCAACCAATCCCGCAGCGGCGCCGTCACTTCATGTCACGGCGGCGTATGATTTGACCGTTCTGAGACCGCCTGATTCCGTAATATCCGGGCGTTTCACCCGTCAGTTTCTGCCACTGCTTTAGCGGCTCGGCAACGTAGGTAGTTAACAACTTCCACCCGCTTTGCACACTTATCAGCCGTAACTACTAGTGTGTGGCTCATAATTACGCCTGCGAATCACGCGGTGATTCGCGAAAACGTTTCGGTAGAGTACATACCGCTCGTTTCCGACATACGGTTTCGTTTCAGGACAGGCGAGGAGTGAGGCGAGGAGTGAGGCGAGGAGTGAGGCGAGGAGTGAGGCGAGGCGAGGAGTGAGGCGAGGAGTGAGGCGAGGAGTGAGGCGAGGAGTGAGGCGAGGAGTGAGGCCCGGGAGTTCCAAACCCGCAATCGTAGTCCTCGATATTATTACTTCCTCCTTCGTCTTCCGTCGTTTAATCAATGGCGGCGAGTGCGAACCCGCCGGTCTTAGACATCACTATTGACCCGGCGAGCCCTTTGGAAGCGAAGGAAACGGCCGTCAGGTACGCTTCAGGTGCTTTCAGGTGCTTTCAGGTGCTTTCAGGTGGCTCCCAGGTGCTTCCAGGCGGAACTCCAGATTCTTCCAGTGCAGAATCAACGTCAACGTCACCGCAGCATGATTTTTTATGCCTTACGTTTCTCCCCCAGGACCATAGCACACAGTCTCATGCCAGCATGGCAGCTGCTACCTTAGCGTGTGTAATGAGTCGATTTTTTAGTCGACTAAAAAATATCCCCCATAACCAAAGCACGCAGTCTCATGCCAGCATGGCAGCTGCTACCTTAGCATGTGGAATGAGTCGATTTTTGAGTCGACTCTTAAATCTCCCCCAGAACCATAGCACGCAGTCTCATGCCAGCATGGCAGCTGCTACCTTAGCGTGTGTAATGAGTCGATTTTTGAGTCGACTAAAAAAATTCCCCCAGAACCATAGCACGCAGTCTCATGCCAGCATGGCAGCAGTTACCTTAGCGTGTGTAATGAGTCGATTTTTGTGTCGACTCAAAAATCTCCCCCAGAACCATAGTACGCAGTCTCATGCCAGCAGGGCAGCTGCTACCTTAGCGTGTGTAATGAGTCGATTTTTGAGTCGACTCAAAAATCTCCCCCAGAACCATAGCACGCAGTCTCATGCCAGCATGGCAGCAGTTACCTTAGCGTGTGTAATGAGTCGATTTTTGTGTCGACTCAAAAATCTCCCCCAGAACCATAGTACGCAGTCTCATGCCAGCACGGCAGCTGCTACCTTAGCGTGTGTAATGAGTCGATTTTTTAGTCGACTAAAAAATCTCCCCCAGAACCATAGCACGCAATCTCATGCCAGCATGGCAGCTGCTACCTTAGCGTGTGTAATGAGTCGATTTTTTAGTCGACTAAAAAATATCCCCCATAACCAAAGCACGCAGTCTCATGCCAGCATGGCAGCTGCTACCTTAGCGTGTGTAATGAGTCGATTTTTGAGTCGACTCTTAAATCTCCCCCAGAACCATAGCACGCAGTCTCATGCCAGCATGGCAGCAGCTACCTTAGCGTGTGTAATGAGTCGATTTTTGTGTCGACTCAAAAATCTCCCCCAGAACCATAGCACGCAGTCTCATGCCAGCATGGCAGCAGCTACCTTAGCGTGTGTAATGAGTCGATTTTTTAGTCGACGAAAAAATTCCCCCAGGACCATAGCACGCAGTCTCATGCCAGCATGGCAGCTGCTACCTTAGCGTGTGTAATGAGTCGATTTTTGAGTCGACTCTTAAATCTCCCCCAGAGCCATAGCACGCAGTCTCATGCCAGCATGGCAGCAGCTACCTTAGCGTGTGTAATGAGTCGATTTTTGTGTCGACTCAAAAATCTCCCCCAGAACCATAGCACGCAGTCTCATGCCAGCATGGCAGCAGCTACCTTAGCGTGTGCAATGAGTCGATTTTTTGAGTCGACGAAAAAATTCCCCCCAGGACCATAGCACGCAGTCTCATGCCAGCATGGCAGCTGCTACCTTAACTGTGCACCATTAGTGGCAAGGTGTGACCCCTTATTCCACTTCCCCCACCTCTCTTCTTCTCCCCTTACCTTCTCCCTCCCTCAGGACCATAGCACATGGGCTCGTGCCAGCGTGGCAGAAGCTTGACTTTTGAGTTGACTCAAAAATCACCTCCCTGCCTTCTCCCTCCCGCAGGACCATAGCGCACAGGCTGATGCCAGCGTGGCAGCAGCTGCCAGAGACAGCCTTGCGAGTCTCCACCATCTCAGGCGGCATCACCAACCTTAGTGAGTTTTAGAGCGCCCTTTAACGACAGCTCTACACATTAGAGACGGGTTTGGCAGCCGGCATCGGTACCCTCCTCTCCCCCCCCCCCCTTTTGGTGCCAGAGACTAACCTGCGAGTCTCCACCATCTCAGGCGGCATCACCAACCTTATTGAGCTTAGGGACGCCAGTACGTAGCAGCATTTCACCTCTGAATCGGACTTGAATGCAACAGTGAGAACCTCGGTGATGGGTTGAGGGAAGTATGTATCTACACGACGGCAATGGAGCTTGGAGAAGCACTTGAATGCCAGCATCGATGCTCCTCTACCCCTTCCCCTTCCTTCCTTATCCCACCTTTATGCGAGACGTACTCAGAATGCAACATTTATGACCTCCCTTAGTTGAAGGAAGTATCTATCTACACGACGACAATAGAGCTTAGAGACGTCTTTATATGCCAACATAGACGGTGCTCTCTCTGCCATCCCCCCCTCCCCTTTTCCACCTCTCTCCCTGTGTGAAAGATCTCAGTCGTAGACTTGTGGGCGATGATTCCTCCCCCTTTTTGGCTGTAACACCTCTTCTTTTTTGCATTATTCTTTCCGGTGGCAGTATTTAAAGTGCAGCAAGCGAAGGACGAACAGAATAAAAGGGAGGAGCAAAACGGGGAGGCGTCCAAGACAAGTGGCGACAGCGCCCAATCAGAAGCAATCACTGTGCGGATCTACGGGCCAGATACAGACAAAATCATCAACAGAAGCAGAGAATGGGAGGTGAGGTGGTGGCATGGCATGGCATGGCATGGCATGGGCATGTCTGTGTATCTGTGTGAGGGGCTGTTGACTCGATGCCATGCCATGCCACGCCCTGTCATGTGAGTGTTCTTCAGTGTCATGTTCCTCACCCCATCCCATGCGTTTCCACGCCATGCCACACCATGCCACGCCATGCCACACCATGCCACGCCATGCCACGCCATGCCACACCATGCCATGCCATGCCACGCCATGCCACGCCATGCCACGCCATGCTGTGCCATGTCAGGTACTTATGGCACTGGCAACAGCAAACTTCGGCCCTCGCCTGATAGGAGGGTTCACCAACGGCACAGTGCAGACGTACCTACCCGGCCGCACCTTAACCCCACCAGGTATGCTCCCCCAATCAGTCAACCTGGTGCACCTGGTACCTTGTTGTTGTCAACACCAAGATTGGGCCTCGATCGGCCCTTGCCTGATAGGAGGGTTTACCAACGGAACAGCCCAGACGTACCTTCTTGGCTGCACCCTAACCCCACCAGATATGCTCACCATCCACCTGGTATTCTCACGGTGCATCCAGACTCCTCTCAGCCCATCCTTATCGCGCCATAGTTGCGCAATCTGGAGGTTCAAGAGGAGTGCACCCATCCTGATTCCCATACCCATGCGCTTATTCCCATGCCCATGCTTATCCCCATACCCATGCTTATTCCCATACCCATATCTATTCCCATTACCCTGCCTATTCCCATGCCCATACCATACCCATGCCTATTCCGATACGCATGCCATACCCATGCCTATTCCGATACGCATACCATACCCATGCCTATTCCGATGCGCATGCCATACCCATGCCTATTCCGATACGCATACCATACCCATGCCTATTCCGATGCGCATGCCATACCCATGCCTATTCCGATACGCATACCATACCCATGCCTAATCCGATGCGCATGCCATACCCATGCCTATTCCCATGCGCATACCATACCCATGCCTAATCCGATGCGCATGCCATACCCATGCCTATTCCGATGCGCATGCCATACCCATGCCTATTCCGATACGCATACCATACCCATGCCTAATCCGATGCGCATGCCATACCCATGCCTATTCCCATGCGCATACCATACCCATGCCTAATCCGATGCGCATGCCATACCCATGCCTATTCCGATGCGCATGCCATACCCATGCCTATTCCGATACGCATACCATACCCATGCCTAATCCGATGCGCATGCCATACCCATGCCTATTCCCATGCGCATACCATACCCATGCCTAATCCGATGCGCATGCCATACCCATGCCTATTCCGATGCGCATGCCATACCCATGCCTATTCCGATACGCATACCATACCCATGCCTAATCCGATGCGCATGCCATACCCATGCCTATTCCCATGCGCATACCATACCCATGCCTAATCCGATGCGCATGCCATACCC